CTTCTACATTGACTGTGTTACAGTTTTCAAGGCCTGAAACATCTGTAATCTTGTCTGATTCTTACAGAGGCCCTGAGTGTGGGTGTGAGTGTGTGTCGGAGGACTCCACCTGAAACCTGCAGGTGACTGATGAGGACCCTGAAACTGAGGGGTGGGGCAAGGGAGCTGGCTGGGTCACCTGACTGATCAGTGGTCAAGTGAGGCTTGGGGCTGAGCGTCTGGGTCGGTGAGAGGGCTTGCCCCATTAGCCCTGCCCCGGGACTCTGGGCCTGTCCTCGGAATAGGCTCTAGCCCCTATCCCATTCTTCCACCCCCTTTCTGTGACCGTCTGCTGTCCTCAGGGGTGCTGAGGGCAGCCCAGGGACAACAGAAGGGAAACTATGGGTCAAAATCTGTCTTGAGATAGATTTTCTCAAGTTCCAGCTGGACACCTGACCAGAGGTACCCCGGGGGGAGGGGGAGGGAGGTTTACATTCATGGATTCTCCACCATCTCATCTGTCTGGAGATAGGGGGTGACTGTTGGCACAGGAGAAGGAACTGCCTGCCCGGCCCCCAGTCTGGGGACACTCATAATTGGGTGATTCATCTCTGCTGTTCACTCCCCATTCCTGTCCAGAGCCAGCCCCCCACTCTCAAGACTCAGAAGCAGGGAGAGCATCCAGCAGGGGCCTAAGACAGGGGCGCAGGGCTGAAGCATGGATAGACCTGTGGCTCCCTGGCCTCCCTGCCCTCTTCCTGTCTCCTACACATCCCTGTGGGATGTATCCAGCTCAACACTTAACGGCTGAGTGAGGTCTTAGCAGGTGTTTGCGTGCATGCTAAGTCTCTTTGGTAGTGTCTGACCCTTTGTGACCCCAGTGGACTATAGCCTGCCGATTCATCTGTCCATGGGATTCTCCAGGCAGAAATACTGGAGTGGGTTGCCAGTCCCTTCTCCGGGGGATCTTCCCAACCCAGGGATGGAACCTGGGTCTCCCACACTGCAGGTGGATTCTTTACCATCTGAGTCACCAGGCGACTTCTCTCCAGATGTCAATTTTGTCATTTGTGGAAGGGGAGATTATATACCCACATCTGAGGGGTTTTCGCAAACTGGAGGGAGTACTTCCTATACTTGAAAAATGTCTGTATGTCTGTTTTGGTCTGCCCCTCCCTCACCACACTCCAATGCAGGGGAAGAGGTTAGGGGGTTTAGGGAGGCTGTGGGGGAAGGTAGCGTGATTTATTTTCTATGTTTACACTCTTCTCTGCTTGCTGACACCAAGGCCCATGTCTCCCCTGTTGGTTCAAGCTGCTCCCTTTCAGGCAAAAAGATTTTGGGGGGCAGGAAATGAAGGGCGTGCCGGCCCTCCCCCTTACAGGGCCCTAGCCAGCCCCTCTGGTCCAACAGGCTGGGACTTGAGTCTTCAGCCCTTCCCTTGCCTGGGAACCCACTCCCCCAGCTCTGACCTCAAGGAGTCACAGCCTCCAACAGGGTGGATCGGAGGCCCCTTCCTGGGCTCAGCCCTCCCGCCCAGGTGAGACACAGACCTTGCTCAAGATGCCTTGGGGGTAGGTGGGGCCTCCTCATGTGCCTTGTCCCGGAGCTCCCGGGCAGGTGGGCTGGCTTGCAGCCCGTACTCAGCCTGGCTTTCCTTCCAGAAGAGCAGGAGGAGCCCGGAGGGCCTGGTAAGCTGCATGACTCAGGGTCAGGGCCTGCCTCACCAAGCTCAGGCTCTTCCTGAAGAGCTCCAAGAGCCGAGCTCCAGGAGCTCTTTGGCTCCAGGGGGTGCCATTCATAGACTACAGTGAGAATGAGCCCCCCACTACCCAGATTGCCTGCATCCAGTTGTGCAATGAGGTCAGCTTCTGCCCCTCAAACTCAAGGCCAGCCAGTCGGGGCCTTCTGGACAAGCATCCTCCCGCCCTGACCCATCTCATCCCCAAAGGACCCGAGGAGGGCTGACAGGAATTAGAGGCCCTTTGAAGGCATTGTATCCTTCTCCCTCCTCTGGGCAGGGTCCTCTCAGGAAGAAGACGTCTTCCACTAAGAACCTTGAAGGCCTGCCCATGCCTTCTCAGCTCCAACTCTAACCCATCCCCGTGTGCATGCTGCGTACGCATGTGTGGACCCGTGTGTAAAAACTAGTTACAGACAGCAACAAGTTTGGTGGGAGTATATGGGGTCATGATTCTGAAGGCTGGGCTTTTTAAAGATTTATTACTTATTTATTTATGGCTATTCCGAGTCATCGTTGCTGCCTATGGGCTTTCTCTAGTTGCCGTAAGCAGGGGCTCCTCTTCGTTGCCGCGCACAGGCTTCCCACTGCAGCGGCTTCTCTCGCTGCCAGCACAGTCTATAAAGCACAGGCTCAGCAGTTGTGGTGCACGGACTCAGTTGCTCCAGGGCATGTGGGACCTTCCTGGACCGGGAATCGAACCCTTGTCCCCTGCACTGGCAATCAGATTCTTAACCACTAGACCACCAGAGACTCTGATTCGAGACCAGGGGGCACTGGGATCCAGGTCCTGTTCCACATGCCCAGCCGTGTGCCTCGGCATGGGGCTGCAACCACGAGGGGCAAAGCGGTCTCAAGCATGCTCTACGATGAGCTGCAGGCCCAGAGTTACAGGTGAGCACAAACACACATGTGTGAGTACACACAGGTGCACATGGGTAAACAGATACTACTTACAGGATACACAAATCTACAGTTATATGTGCAACCTGTTCCCTCAGGGTGGAGCACGGTGAACACCTATGTGAACTGACAGCGAACACATGTGTGTATGGGGGGGCAGTGCTCTACCTGCCAAGACTTGTGTGTATGGGGCGAGGGTACTTTATCTGCAAACACAAGTTTGTGTATGAGGGGAGGGCAATGCTCCACCTGCAAACACATGTGTATATGGGGAGCGGAAGGTGCTCTGCCCACTGAGAGCAGAGCTGCCCCCTGTTTTCCTCCACTACTTTGGCTTCTGGGCTGGGCTTGGCTGCTGGCAGGCCTGGGATCAGGCAGGGGTGAGGATAGGGTGCTGTGAGCTGGGGTTCCCTACTTTCTCTCAGCATTGAGGAGCCCCTTTGCCAGTTTCTGCCCTGCGCAGCTCCCCCTGGGGGAGCGAGGGGCTGAGAAACATACCAGGGAGTGGGGAGAAGAGAGGACGTCCCGGTGGGGGGGGGGTTTCCCCTCTTTCCACACTCTGGGTTCTGGCACCAGGACTCTGGGGTTTTGTCTTGAGTCATGGATGGGCAGCGGGGCCGCGGGCAGGCAGTGGGTGATGGCTCCCTGATTCACCATGGGGCCTCCCAGCCCTTGAGGCTCAGGGGGCGGGGAGCTTCTTTCTGGGCTGCGGGCCCTGGGAGACCTCCCGTGTGGGAGTTACATATCTGTGTGAGCCTATGGCCAGGCTCTCATGGCAATGCCATCCCAGGAGTGCATGAAGAAACCTCAGGGTCTATAGGCGAACATGACTGCCAGCCCCAGGGTATAGTGAGTGAGCACGCCTGCACGGCACGTGTGACTCTGTATGTTGCTAAACCCCATCTCTTTGGGCATGAGTCACCTCTGGAGCCCTCATTTCTGACAGCCGCTGCTCAAAGGACAAGTCCCCAGGGTCCTCAGCCCACCTGGATTAAGTCCCTTCGGGAAATGAGGTCTCTCCGGCAAAGCTGCCTTAGAGACCAGGGTGAGGGCATATTTGCTGCCAGTTCTGTGGGAGTCAGGTCCAGGCGAGCAGGCCTCAGCTCACCAGTTATTAGATGCGGCACAGAGAGCGAGACTGCCCCATGACGCCCCACCTCTGATGGTCTGACATCCCCACAGCTCAGACTGCTTCATCTCTTAAAGGAACAGAATTGCCCCTGGCTAGGGATCAGCCTGGGTGGGAGAGTAGAGGGTTAAAACCAGCTGGAACTCAACCTGCTGGCAAGTATATGGCTGGCGGCATGTCAGGACAACTGCAGCTCGGGCCCTGGACCTGTGTGCAATGCGCACACAGGTACACGTGTGACAAGCGCTGTTAACCCAGCCATGTTCCACTGCCACGAGCACAGCCATGATGCCCCAAAGGCGTGATCAAGCGGATGGGAGATGCCATGTGTGGACACAGCTGGGAACAGAGCCGTCAAGACATGTAACATGTGACATGTACTCACCAGACAAGAAGCAAGGCCTCTGAGCTCTGGCCAGAACTCAGCCCATGTGTTCTGCGAGTGCACCTGGGTCTGGACTGTGTCCACCTGGGTCTCTTCTCCCTTGGGCCCCACCCCCACCCCCCAGCCTCCTCCCTCCAGGTCCCTAACTGAAGACAGGAGCGGTCCATGACTTAGTGCTTAGTTGCTCAGTCCCACTGGACTGTTTGCAACCCCATGGGCCATAGCCTGCCAGGCTCCTCTGTCTATGGGATTCTCCAGGCAAGAATACTGGAGTGGGTTGCCATGCCCTCCTCCAGGGAATCTTCCCAACCCATGAATCGAACCCAGGTCTCCCGCACTGCAGGGGAATTCTTTATGGTCTGAGCCACCAGAGAGGCCCATGAGCTGGGGCCAGTTCCTTTCCTGACTCGGTGGGAGTCTGCTGTCACTCCCCCCGTGGTGGGGATGGCAGGGAGGCTCGCTGCGAGTGGGCCGAGGAGGTCTCTTCCGCAGCTCCTTTCTCCCCTGAGGCCCTGGTCCTGTACGCGCCTTCATCCCGGCATCAGTTCTCTGCCTCCATCATCCCGCAGTTCTCCTGGGGACAATCCTAGCCCGAAGGGCTCCTCACCCCACCCCGCACCTCTACCTTCCTCACCAGCCTCCCCCACAACCCAGCAGCCCCTTCAGCCTCCCCGGGCGAGCCGTGGGGGCGGCCGCCCACCTTGAGGCCGGCGCGGACGGGGCGGGCGGGGTTGCGGGCGGGCTGGCGGGCGGGGCACGTGCCTCCGGCTCTATAAATGGGCGCCACCCGGCGCTGGCGGCCACTCTGCTGCCGCAGCCGTCCTTTCGCCTGCCCGCCCGAAGCGCCGTCGCCTGCCCCCGCCATGGGTCGACAGAAGGAGCTGGTGAACCGCTGCGGGGAGATGCTGCACATCCGCTACCGGCTGTTTCGCCAGGCGCTGGCTGAGTGCCTGGGGACCCTCATCCTCGTGGTGAGTGGAGGGACACGCAGAAGCCTCTTGCCAGCCCCACCACCCCAGTCCCTCTGTTCACTGAGGGGCTGTGTTTAAGACAGCCTCGACCCCTCTCTCAACTCTGACCACCCCCAGCCCCCCACACTGACATCCTCCAGGGTCCTCTTTGCTTAGAGCTCTAACCCCCTCTGTGACAGCTCTGACTCTTGCCAGAATGACAGCTGTTACACCCCAATGACAGCTCTGAGCTTCACCCTGTCACCAGTGGGCCAGCCCAGAGGCTGGGGGCGTTGGTCACCTTTGCAGTCTGGGACCTCCAGTCCTGGCTGGCTGCCACAGATTCCTGGAGCCCCAGCCCTGGCAGAGGAGGGTGGTGGGGGGCAGTGGCAAATGGGCCCCTATTGAGTTATTTGGGTCCCGGGTGCCTGGCCCCTAATGAATAATTAAGCCTCAGAAAGTCCAAAAGTTCCCCTGATGTGAGGACAGTGCTTTCCGGGGGGGGGGGGGGGGGGCAGAGGGCGGAGGCCATGCAACACACAGCAAGCAAGGAAGGAAGGAGGATCCTGAAGATAGGAGGCTGTGGAAGGCAGCTTTGCCCCAGGCACAAGGGACATGAAGTCACTAACGCCTGTCCCTGAGTGCTGGGCGACTCGTGGACGGTTACCCAGACAGATGTGGTCAGCTTCCGGGCACAAGCGCGCTGGCGTGCATGGGTCTCCAGGATCTGAGTTACTCGCCGGGTTCCTTCGCAGTCCCAGTGACTCCATGGTCATGCCAGTTTCCATCCGGGTTGCTTCTGGGTGACTCTGTTTGTACTTCTTGGACCTGGCAGACCGATCAGTTTTGGGCTCCGTTTCCTGTCCCAGTTAGTCTCGGATTTTCAGCCACGCTTGTGGTTACACCTGTTTCCCTCTTGGTTACTTCTGGGTTCAGCTGCTCCATTGCAGGGGGTAGGGTACTCTGTGCCCCAATTCCAGCCCTAGGTAAGGTAGTCCAGCCAGTCCCCTGGGGACTAGTGAGATTAACTCGGGGCAAGGAGAGCCAGGTGGCTCCCTACCATGGGTGGTGGTGGAGCAGGTTCTATGGTGAGAGGAGAGCTGGGACTCACTGCTGGCTTCTGGGACCAGGAAACGGGGAAGCCAGGTGGGGCTGTTTATCCACAACCCCCCCAAGACTAGTGGTCCTTCTGGTCATCCGTTATCTCTTCTCTCCCACGAAGGGACTAGGACAGGTGCTTATCATCACCCTGCCCAGGGCTTTGTGTCCCCTCTCCCCATCTGACTGACAGTCCAGTCCCCTGTTGGAGAGCAGCCAGGACAGGGGACATTGTCTTCCCTTCACAGAGGGGCCTCCCTAACTCCTCCCTAAGTCTCAGCTTGCCTTCCCCCAAAGGAGCAGTCGGGCCTCCCGCTGAGCCCCAGGATCACTTGGCTTACCGCTGACCACAGAAGGAGGGTGTTATGTTTGTGAAGGCTTTCAGGCTCAGGTGGTTGAGAGGCATTGGGTATCAGTGCCCGAAGAGGAGGGGCCAGGCCAGGAAGACTCCTGAGTGGTGGGTGAGGGCTTGCCTGCACCCCTCTGGGGGTTGGGGACCTGCAGTGTCAGAATCAGGGCTGGCTAAGACTGGGGAAGCCCCTTTCTCTGGGGCACCTAGTAAGGTGAGGAGAGGGAGAAGGAGGCAGGAGGAAGAGGAAGATTAGTCTCAAGGTGGTGGAACTGGCTCTGACAGCTTCTCCCTCCAAGGCCTCTTGGGATGGAGCCAGGTTTGTGCCTTGGGTAGGCAAGGAGCTGAGGCCAAGGCCTGCCAAGCTGGGCAGGGTGCCCCAGACCCTCACATGCCTGTTTCAGCACACACACAGATACTTCTAATCTCTGATCTTTGCTCTCACCTGCCTGCACACCTTTGCCCTGTTGCTGCCTCAGGTTTCCTATCTCTTGGTCCTCCTGAAGGGTGATAACCAGAATTCATAACCACCCCGTGCAGCAGGACACTGAGCCATCAGAATGAACGAGGGCCCTGAGCACAGGTCTTGTAAAGTTTCTGCTGAATAGGCCTCAGAATTTAGTTATGGGGAGATGGGAAAGGAGAGTTGGGGCAGGGCTGGAGCAGCTTTGGGGGGCACCCTGGGAGCTCAGAGTAATAGCTCTTTACAGCTAGTGCAGGAGCATTCTGGGGGCTTCCCGGCGACTTAGCAGTAAAGAATCTGCCTGCCAATGCAGGAGTGGCTGGAGACACGGGTTTGATCCCTGGATCGAGAAGATGCCCTGGAGGAGGGCATGGCAACCCACTCCAGTATTCTTACCTGAAGAATCCCATGGACAGAGGAACCTGGCGGGCTATGGTCCATGGGGTTGCAAAGAGTTGGACACGACTGAGTGACTTAGCAAGCATACACAGGAGTGTTTTCACATCTGAACAAGGGGAACTGACATACAGCACGCTCTGTACTTGCAGGACATCGGGGACTTTAGCCTCTTGAATCCTCCCATTTCTGGCAGAAAGTTTAGAACCTATCTCCCCACTTCCACTGGCCTGAGGGTCCCAGACTGGCTAGTGAGAGGTCACAGAGACCTCTGTCTTTAGGACCTCCAAATCTGAGTGGGGAACCTGGGCCCCCTGAGGGTAGGGAGGTCAAGGTGAGGGGAGACAGGAGGCTCTGGGTCAGGGACATGTCGGGGAAGCTGAGGGTTCCGAGAGGGAGGCCAGGGGCTCTGACACCCCAGATTAAGGAGAAGTGGGTTCAGCCTAACTTCCGGCCTCTGCCCTTTCTCCATGCGCTCTCCCTGTCAACTCTTCTTTGGGGCAGAGAGAAAGGCAGCTGCGGGTGGGGATGAGTGAGAACCTTCCCATCCCTAGGACCAGGCCTGAAAGGCTGGGGGAGGAACTGCTTGGGTGAGAGTGTCCCCTTCCTCTGGCTCTCATTGAGAATCGAGACAAATCAATGGAGATGGTGCCACTACCTTCTGGGCTCACAGTTGCAAACTCTGCTTCCAGTCCCTTCCACCGGACCCTGTTAGAGTGGAGTTGGGACCCTGGGGCTGGGAGGGCCTGTCTTATGACTGCAGCAGGAGGGGAGGGGTTTGATTCCAGGAAGGGCTTCTGTCTCCGCAGGAAGGCAGGGGGAGGTGGCTGGCTTCACCTTTCCTCTGGAGTGAGAGTCACTGGTTCTCACTCTCCCGCTTTGCTCTGTTTCCCGACACAGATGTTTGGCTGTGGCTCTGTGGCCCAGGTCGTGCTCAGCCGGGGCACCCACGGTGGTTTCCTCACCATCAACCTGGCCTTTGGCTTCGCCGTCACCCTAGGCATCCTTATTGCTGGCCAGGTCTCTGGTAAGGCCTTGTCCCCACCCTCAGCCATCAGCCTTCCAGCAACCCCACATGGTGTCCCACTGGGGAATGGGGTGGGGGCGGGAGGGTTCTTCACAGGGCAGGGCATAGCCATGCCCTAGCTTTGGGCCCTTGAAAGAGAAGAGTGACGAAGGAAAACTTCGTCTCTCACCTTGGAATCAGAGACAAGCAGAGTGGGTCTATTACATAGTCCAACCCGCCATTCTGTGCAATAAAGCCTTCTCTGCATCCCTGTTCACCAGAGCTGAAGAGGGGGAGTGTGGGAGGGGGAGACCCTGGCTCCCCACTGTGGCAGACGGGGGGTTAATAGGTCCCATCTCCCTCTGCCCAGGGGCCCACCTGAACCCTGCCGTGACCTTCGCGATGTGCTTTCTGGCGCGCGAGCCCTGGATCAAGCTGCCTGTGTACACCTTGGCTCAGACTCTGGGAGCCTTCCTGGGCGCTGGCATTATCTTTGGGTTGTATTATGGTGAGCATCCCCACCCTGCTTTCCTCCATGACCCCCTCCCTCTGCTTAGGACTGACCTACTGGCACCAGGCCTTTCCATGATGAATACCAGGGAGCTGCCCAGGCCCCAGGCTTATGACTCATTCACGCACAGGCCCCAGGTGGGGGCCGCGAGAGGAAAGAAATGAGCTGGGCAACGGTGGAGTCAAGCTCTCCACCCTCCATCTTCCCACCCTGTCTCCAGAGTGATAAAGTAGTGATTATGCTCACCTGCGACCCCTGGGAGGGTGGGCACAGCTTGACGGGGAAGACGGGCCTCAGGCCTTTCTCTCATGCATGCGGTATCTAAACTGTCACCAGATGCGATCTGGGCCTTTGCCGACAACCAGCTTTTTGTTTCGGGCCCCAATGGCACAGCTGGCATCTTTGCCACCTACCCCTCTGGACACTTGGACATGGTCAATGGCTTCTTCGACCAGGTACGGACTGGGAGTGGGTGAGGGGCTTGGGTTGCTTGTGGGCTGGCTGGGGGACAGGACTCCTTGTCTAGAGCAGATTCCTAGGACTCTGCTAGTTTAGCCAGCAGAAATCTTAGCACCACTACCCTGATGAGCAGAACCCTGGAGATGCCAAGACTGTTGGAGGAAGCCAGAGGGTGGAAGGTGGGGGCTGTCCTCACGCTGTTCTCCCCACTCCCCAGTTCATTGGCACGGCCTCCCTCATCGTGTGTGTGCTGGCCATTGTGGACCCCTACAACAACCCTGTCCCCCGAGGCCTGGAGGCCTTCACCGTGGGCCTGGTGGTCTTGGTCATTGGCACCTCTATGGGCTTCAACTCTGGCTACGCTGTCAACCCCGCCCGGGACTTCGGCCCCCGCCTTTTCACCGCCATCGCCGGCTGGGGCTCAGAAGTCTTCACGTGAGTGCAGTCCCCACCCGCGTGCCCCAGCCCATTCCCCGCTTTGGCCTGCCTCACCCACCCCTGACCACATCTGTCTGCCCACAGGACGGGCCGCCACTGGTGGTGGGTGCCCATTGTCTCTCCGCTCCTGGGTTCCATCGCGGGTGTCTTCGTGTACCAGCTCATGATCGGCTGCCACCTGGAGCCACCCCCACCCTCCACCGACGAGGAGAATGTGAAGTTGTCCCACGTGAAGCACAAGGAGCAGATGTGAATGGGCGGGGGCACCCCCCTTGTCCTCTCATGAGCGTCCATTGACTGT